TTAAACTAATGTTTCTAAGTTCCTTTCCTGATATCAGCGAGACATGTCTCTTGATGTATGTACAAAACTTGTCAATATAACTCGTACACCAAATAGATGTTTCATTAATGAATCCACGAATAACAAAAATTCTAAACATGTATAAATTTACGAAAATGATACACAAATACACCGTGCATTTGAAAATGCAAATTTCCTCATGAATGTTTGCATGAGCGATTTTAAGGACGTGTAATGTATCCCAAATTCAGCGACAGAAATCATTTTCATTCCATCACATTTATTTGAAAAGTTGTGAATTGTAAAAGATTTATGATGTTCATATTGGAATTTCAAATTTATTTTGCAAACAAGACAAAAGCTTCAGCTAAGGGATTATGATGGGTGCTATGCAGGGGTGTAGTTAAGGGGAAAGCAGATTTTTAAGTTATGCTTAATAATGTTAAGTTTTCGTCTTTTTAATTGATTTAATTTGATGAGATTCTTTTAAAATTCTTAAGCTTCCTATCCCTCTTTCCTCAAACCGTACCTCTGATGGGTGCTACTTATTAGAACTGCCAGTTGAAATTCTAAGCACAGCATCCGATTGTTTGTAATTCACAAATCTGTACAGTTCATAAAATTTAATGGATATTCCGATGAAAACAAAAAGATTCTACAAACTCAACTTTAAAGTATGTGACAAACTCTCGACATGAAAGCTTCCTTAATCATTTTCACATTGATCACAGCTCTAAAGAAGGGTGGAAATACACAAGACGATGACAAAGATTATATAGCAATTTTCCTTTTTGCACTTGATTTATTGCACTGTGTTTGTTTATGTGCCAAAAGTGGAACGCAGGAGAGCTCCAGTGGTAGTAAAACGAATGAGAAAAATGAAATGAAGACATTTTTATTCCTACGGAAATTTATTTAAGATTACGATCTTGAGAACATCGTGTATTTTGTTGCTCGTACACGTTTTGTGAATTTTTGCTTATATCACTTAATGGTAAATAATATGGTGTCACTGGTAAAATCAATTTGTGAATGGAATCAGGTCAACCACATAATTTTGGTGATGGATGTAAGATTTAACCTTAGTTCTTATAGATATAGTCACTATTGCCTGCTTTGTTCACATCTCTTATTGTCTAAATCTGAAAACTATTACCTGAAACTCAATAAAATTGAGAACTAATAAGAAGCAATTCACAGCTTTTTTTACATTTCTTATCCTCTTCAAGCCTCATATTCAAATACCAAATGACTAACAACATGATATAATGCTTACACTAATAATAAATGTTGAGAATAACAATCACAAATAATGTGCTTCTGTATAGTCTCATTCATGCTATTCTCATTGTAAGTGACTTAAAGTTAAAGGGGTTGGAATGAAATGTGTGTAAATGCTTCCTTAACTTTTCAAATATAATTCACATTTTATTTAACTTTATTAGCATTTTACGCAAATTTATTCTTCATTTTTTTAAACTTAAAGTATGATTCTGTTACGGGAGCTATTGTGTGAGCGACTTGGCAGGCAAACAAGCATTTTCTTAATCTCATTGTTGAATGATATATGATTCTTGATTCATTCCTTTTAGTTCTATTCTTCATTCACTCATATGTACGTCTTTTGCTATTTCATCTGTTTTCTCTATTCCTTGTCTGAATTCAAAATGAAATGCTTCCCTTGAATGCAGAGTTGCGAGAGTTCTAGTTTTTTGCTTTGCTTGTTCGGCTGGAGAATCGAGTTTTCTTTAACCAGATATTTTAGATTGCTCGGGTTTGTTTTAATAGCTCATTTTCATCGAGTTATTGGCCTCGTGGATGGTTAAATATTAAAAGGTGACCTGTGGCAGGTTGGTGACAGGTTGCGGCCTTCGATAGATGGGATCTTTGGCAGGTGAACAATTGTAATCGCAGTTCAAGTTGGATGTATGTAGATTCGATTCTCACGAGCTATACATGTGTATAAGTATCTGAAATGGATAAAATTATTATTATTTATTTGTCGACGTTACCGTCAGGAAGAATTAGTATTCATACATGATTTACTTTTTACATTGATTAGTGATACATTTCATATCACTATGGGTGACGTAGAATCAAGCTTCTAATCTTCAAATCTAGGTTTCGATTAAATTCAGGCTATCGTTTCAATCTTCTGTGGGCGTGATGTGATACATTTCAGGTCCGTTCTGACAATATTCCATTATAAGGTAATCTTGTAGCTCTCGTTCCTATTTCTCCCGCTACACTTCAAGTTCCTGACCCGTTCCTTAATCCAACGTTGCCCAATTATGGCTTGATCTCGTACATTAAGCAGTCGAAGTATCTAAGCTTCTGAAAAAGAACAAATTTGGAAATGGCTGGACTCGAACTGACGACCTTCGAGTTACCATACCAAATTTGAGCCAAGAGCCTTACCTATTCGACCAGCAAGGCACTTAACTGCAAAATAAAGTAGCAGTAGAATTCAATCACATCAAAAGACTCCTCATGACCTTTTTATTATGCCTTAACATTCAAAAGGGGATGTTTGGAGATTATGTAACGATAAGAGGAATTATCAAGCCTCATATAAAGTATTTCTGAATTTTTCACAAAATTCATAACGACAGGAAGGTTGAGAATAGACATTTTGGTTCTACAAAATATGCAAACAACCCCAAATCCTTTCAACAAAAAAATTCAAAAAGTCTCAGAATACAGAAAATGCTTTTGACGCATTTTTCGCTTAATATTTTATGAAGGAATATCTGAATGGATTTGTTATAAATCCTTGATACTCTTTGAACTTTTGTATAAAGGACATGAGAACCTTCTTAATGTTTGCAGATGGAAAAGTAATCAAATTAATGATTTTTATAGCAATCAAATCTGTTCAATTGAAGTAAAATAAAAATTTTGATCAAAGATGAATGCACATAACTTGAAGCTGATGGATTAATATCAGAAAATGTGCCTTACTTTAAGGTTCTTTATTAAGCTCAAACTCAAACAATTTTCAAATAAAGACTTTTATTATAACAAAAAGCGTACATGCAACCCTCAAGCAGCATGAATAAAAATAGAAATTATATTGAGATGAATTTCATGCATTATGAGCTCATTTGATAAGGAATAAAATAAAAATGAGGATGAATTTTGATTTCAAATTAACAAAGGAAGAACATGCAAAAAGAAAGCTTTCGCAGATGTTCCTTAAAAAATGAAATCTTTTTCTCATCTTTATAATTTCTTATTCTTTTTCTTATTTCAGCTCTTGTTCATCACAAATTAAATTGAATCAGCTGAAAATTTTATTAATGAAGTTTTATGAATTTTTTTTTCTTCTGTCTTTTGACTTCTCTTTTAAATAAACTAATATATAGGAACGTAATCATCGTTAATCGAATAGAAATCCAACGCCTAGCCGTTATGACTCTAGCATGGTGCTGGCGTTGATTTAAAGCTGGCACCATGTCAGAGCATTTGAATGATAAGAGATCTCGAGGTAGACCGAAGAACTCATGGAATGACTGTGTAAGCAACGATGCAAATGTGCTAGAAATTAGAAATTGCAGAAGTTGTGTATGGTTAGAGCCAGTTTTTGACGAACTTTGAATGTGGCGATGGGCCCACGTGAGCCTTACCAAGGAAGTAGGTAAGTACCATGTCAGAGCCACATCGGCTTGGTGCCGGCAATTTATGTTCGATTAATCGACTTGTGTCATTCGGGCAGGTTTCTTCTTCCTTTTAAGTCTACCTCCATCCTTTTGCTGCATCCAATTGTTAAATTATTTTTCTTGACAGTTTTTACCAAAACTTAATAGCTTACCAGCTACAACAATTCAAAAAACATTGCCAATTTATAAGACGTGATAGGTCGCTAGGGATAAATAACTTTCATTCACACCCAAATGACTAAGTAGAAATTTCATAACACAAGCCTTTGCACACATCTCCCGAAAGAAAGTCATCGTCATTGTATTACAGATTATTCATTCAATAATATCTTATAAAGAAGAGTTGAAGGCACAATGTCAAGTTATGTGAGTAAAGAGATGACTTTACTGTGTTGAAATTGGAAGCAATTCATGAGAATTTTTCTTCGTGTCATCATTTTATCCGAAAACATGTGCTTAAAGACATGATTCTTCAATAATCAATTAATCATTGTTACTGAACATAATGATTCTTTAACCATCTTTAGGCTTTTTATTGTATTAAGGAGATACTTTCATGGATTTAATATGACAAATTAGGATTTTGAAGGAATTGGCTTAAAAAGAATTACAGAAGTGAGAGAAGCCCTAGTAATTATCTTGTAGGAACAAAACGAATTTATGCAAAAATAATTTAAATTTAAAAGTAACTGGGGTGGAAAATGAAGTATCTTGTGCTTCATACTTACTTCATAAAATACTTTAATGCACAAAAAAAGCAAATTTCTTCTTAAAAATTATGAAGTTATAAATTTGAACATTTTTAAATTTCATTTAAATTGAATTTTGGAATGGGGAGTGTTCAGGTATTTTGTTCACTATTTAAGGGTAGGAAGGGGCTAAGATATTGTGATAACTCAAACCTTGGATTTTTTACGGAAAAGCATAGTTAACACCAAAATAACCCAAGATGTTGAGGAATTTCTTTAAAAAATTATTCCCACGACTTAAAGACAATTAGAGTTAACGATATACGCCAAAAGTAAAGATGCTTTGTTGCTACATATGAAATATGAGCAAGAAAAATGAGATTCACTTCAAAAAGAATTAATCCCTCCCAAAAAAAGAACAAAAAGTTTATCTTCATTGTCGTACGTACGCTATACAGTTTATTAAGGAATTGAATTTACCCGCAAAAGCAGAAAGGCATTTTAAAAAAAATTATGTAATGACTTGTTTTTTTTACACGCTATAATTAAATCACTTCTCAAATCGAGCTGAAAATTTACATTTGGAACCACAACGGTCAAATTTAATTTGAAATCTCAGTTTGTTGATAAAGAATTAGCGTGGAAGTTCATAGACAAAACAAGCTGATGAAAAAATTGTTTTCTTTTTGATATTTTGCGAAAATTATAAAAACAAGATAATTAATAAAGATGTCTTTAGAATCAACAACTTGTGAAGATCTTAAAGCATTTGAAAGACGATTAACTGAAGTTCTAGCATCACTGCAGCCAGCATGCATAAGATGGAGAATTATTTTGGGAATTTGTTCACTTACAACTGGATTTTCAGCTTTCTTCTGGTAAGCTTAATTAAAGAGAACGTATATAATAATGAGTTAAAATTGATGTATTATTTTACAGGCTCAGAGATCCACAAACTAGCTTCTTGCCGTTATTTGATTCTTTAATTATTCACCCACTTTTCTTCTTATCTGCACTTGCATTAGTTATGCTATTCTGCTATGGGATCCACAAATTAGTCATTTCACCTCAGGTAAGTCACACACTGCTCATCAATACTGCTGTAATTAATTCATTTTATTTGGTCTTTAGATAATAATTTCACGGACAAGGACTGTACTTAATGAATTTAATATGTCATGCAACGAAAAGGGAATGCTTATATTAAAAGGATTTCAGAAAGAATAGAAGAGAAGAAGATGACATTTAAGGAAGAATAAATTAAGACTTAAAAGATATTAATTAAAGTATGAATAAACGATCACTTAAATTTCAAATTCATTTATGTCGTCAATTCCAACAAAAAACTGTCAATCTGCTGCATCATTAACAGTGGATCAATCAAGTAAACAAATCGGCAAAAAATATATTCATCATTTAAACTATAATTAAGCACTTTACAAAGATAGGTGGACATTTGTGATACATTTTAAAGTTAATTGAACATCATGGCACATAATTTAGGGACAAGAGATCGATTACTTGCCGTCATTGACGATATTGAAATAATTTCAAAGTAAGTCACAAATATGAATTCGTAAATTCCACTCTAATTAATCAATTTTGCAGAGAAATAATAGAAAATCTCATGGCACCAAAACATCAAAAGACACACGATTATCTTCAGTTAGTAGATTTATTAGTCGTTAAGGATAATGAATTAAAACAACTTATGAAGCTTGCTGCTGAACAAGAGAAAATTGATGAGAAGATTAATATGCTGAAAGAACAAGTAGCAAAATATGACAATGAAATTAATCAACTTCAAAAGCAGCTGAAGGAGGCTGAACAAATACTTTCGACAGCAATCTTTCAAGCGAAGCAGAAATTGGCAAGTATTGCAAAAGCAAATGATAATCCCATCCATTCCGAAGAGCTCATAAAGTATGCTTATCGTATAAGTGCATCTCATGCTGTATCTGCACCATTGACATGGCAACAAGGCGATTTAAGACGTCCATATCCAACAGATCTTGAAATGCGATTAGGCTTGCTTGGAAAGACTGATTTAAATATGAATGGTCATAGCTTACTGTCACAAAACAATGTTAATAACGATGCAATTCGTCCAGCAACTGGTGAAATACCAGCTTCAGCACAAAATCAATTTGCATGGTTCCCAACAGGTGAACTTCATATGATGGCTGGTCATCAGTCGATTTCTTTAGAAACTAATCGAACGCATAAAGATGCTTCTCAAGACGATGCTTCATCCGATAGTTCCAGCTCAAGTTCTAGCGATTCTCAATAAATGTTAGTTCTATAAGTCTATAATAAAGTTTAAGCTCATTCACAATAAATAATTCAACATTTTATTTCCTATGAATCTCAACATAATATTCAGGTGTATAGACATAATATCGGTTGTTAAAGAGAAATAACTCGGGCTTGGCTTTAAATCGAACATATTTTTTCATGTTCTTGAATTTATATCCTGCAAATTACGAGGAAAGACAAAAGTTGAATAAAGTCATTAAATATTGTTTCCCATTGCATAAATTGATGTGCATGCATACAATAGCGAATTGAGCTACAAAACAAATTGTATCTCATGTGCAGTGTCACATGCTAATGTAATTGTAGCAAGAATGCAGCCTCCAAAATTATTAACAAGAAAATGCTTCGACATTCTTGAACAGCTAGCTAGCCGCGCAATTGCTTCCATAAATATTCATAAGAATCGAGAATCAAGGACGGAAATGTGCAAATCTCCTCGATTCCACTTAGGTCAGTTAAATATGATTCCCAAGAAATTTGTAGTGCTTTGTGCTGGAAAGTATCTTGTGGAGTGACATAAATAAAACACAGACCATTTCAGACATACTTTATACATATTTTTTTATTTTTAAATATTTACAAGAACTTGGATCTCAATCGCTATTGTGGCTGAGACACCAAATATTTTTAAATTCATCTTTGAACATGCATAACTGTCAATTTTAAAGTGTGGCACTTGTTCAGTGACTTGTTGCTCTCACATCTGTGTGCTTATCAGCGCGTAGGTTATTGACTATTTTTACAATAAATTAACAAGTTCTTTGCATGTCCCTGAGTAGCAAACTCATCATTTTTTTTAATAATTTAATCTAATTCTATTTCTATGGATGTTCTAAAGTTAACATCACGTCTTGCTTTAAATTATGTACATTTAAATTAAATTTGATTGACTTTAACAAGGTGTTCATGGATGCCTCTTTAGATTTCTCACAAAAAATTACATCTTAATGAAATTTTAAAAAATTGATCCTTAATGACCAGGACATGCTTACAAGTTTTGTCATTAGGAAGGAAGAATGCTACTTTCTGGACGATTTAATAAATTACTAATTATCAATTCTTTTTGTTTCGGTATCAAATTGCAAGGTTTTTAAAAATATCTTCTAGATACTGGATATTGAAAACCTCCTGTAAAGAAGAAAAGTAAGTTTGAAGGAAATGAGACAGGATGTCGTGAAAGAAGTAACTGAAAATAGCTCATAAGAGGTGCATTTTTTTACAAAAGTCATTCTTTAAAGGTGCTCGCTCTACATACTAATTAATGCTCCATCAATTAAGTATCTACGCAATCATATTAGCCATTCTACTAGCCATTATCATTTTAAGGAATTCTAAATCTAAAAAAATATAAATTCACATAGTTTATATACAAGAAATAGTTTTTTTGAGTGTTAGTGAAAGCAGGAAGGATAGTAGTTGAGGTGAAGGATATAATAATAATTTTTGTGCATCCTCAATATCACATGAGGCTAGTCAAGTCCAATGTCCAGGAAAGGATAAAATTTTTACAATTCTGTGATAGAATAAAGAATAAATTTTGTAATTATAAACAGCAATTTTAAAGCTTAAATCAATCTATAATGAACCACATCCAATTCTTAACCAATTAAAATTATTTCTATCATTATTGATTTCAGTTTCTGTTGGAATGTTGATTGCTAAGCTATTAAAGTCATCTAAATAAGTGTACTTGTAGTTTAAGTAGCATAAATACGAGTTCGTTAATATGTGATGTCAATTTTAAACACCAAACCTACTTGCTACACTGTTCTTCTATGGTTTACAGTCGATTCTAATGATTCAGACCCGAACAGAACCCGCTTAACACAATTCATGACAATTGGGGCCCTCTACCTTAGAATGGCAGATCGATCTACTGTCCCGACTAGCACAAGTTGGTTAATCGAATAGAAATCCAGCCGGCATGACTCTGGCATGGTACTAGTTTCGATTTGAATCCAGCACTTTTCCAGAGTCACACCGGTTTTGTGCAGGATCAATTAACCGACTTGTGTCATTCGGGTTTTCTCAGCTAATAAAAACAAAATTCAGATCTGAACAGGGTTTGTGCCTCAACGAGTCCCAAAAAAAAAACCATCCCAGGTCAAAAAGCAAGTCAAAATAATATCATAATCCAAAAGAAACTGATCAACATTAAGCAAATATCATTGACTAAAAGGGAATATTGACTAGGAAGTAAGTAAGGAATGCATTCTACAACTTACTTGCACCAGCTGATGGAGGCACGAATCCAAAGCCTGAAGCTCCAATTACTACACCTGATGTTTCCATTGGTCCATCTGTTGGTGGCATTGGGAAGACTACTGGACCTACATTGTCATGTGATTAAAGGCAAAGTTATATTAATCAATTAAATTTTAATGTGTTGAATTAAATTCACAAATGGCACTTTACATCTTTATGACTGTTTATTGTTAAAGATCTCGTCGATGAAGTCAATGTAAAATTAACATGATTCATGAAAAGAATTTGATCAGCAATGAACATGATAATTAAGACATTTAAATTGCAACTAACATGTGTATTTAGTAAGCAAGTAAGGCTAAATGCACGAAAAAGTAGATCATTTATTACCTTCCATACAGCACAACAATTTATATTCGGTCAATGAGAAATTTAATTAATTAATTAATGAAAATCTTTTATTTGCAGCCTAAGTGCTGCTTTAACTTATGTGCTGTTGCTTATTGGAATCGGCAATTGTTGCACAAGGTCAAGTGCAACTCAATTATTTTCTCTTCTTCGTGAATTTAGGCATAAGTTTCGAGCAATTAGCTCAACACACAAAAGCATAGAAGATGAATTTCCAATTAAGAAGGAAGATAGCGAGAATGGAAAGTTAAAAAAGTGCAATAAGTGATAATGAAAAGATGAGATGCGGTGAAATACAACCTTGGTTACCTCTGTTGCTTCTATTGTCTTGTATGAGGGATGCGCTTGGGAATGAACCCCCGAAAGCTGATGGTCCACCTGCAATTATATTCTTAAGTACCTTCTTGATATGGAAATAAGACATAATGCTTACCGAAATCTCCTGTGAACGTGCTGTATGAGTTATATGGGAAGGCAGTTGCAATGACAACGAAGAAAAGAAGTGATGAAAGTGCTACTAACTGAAATAATCACAAGAAAACGAAAACACTTTACTATGTATTACAGCTGCTAGCTATAGCTATTAAGTAATTCACAATTTGATTATTTAATGCGTCTTCTTGTGTACATGCACGTATGCATCATGATAGTAAGCACTCAATTTACTAGTTTTTCATTTCATTCACAAGTTTTTTTGCTGCCGATTGCAAAAAATAAGCCTTACTTTAATTCCGACCGAGTTCAAACAATTTAATTCTACAAGCATGTCTAACAAGACTTTCTAGCATTGGTGTCGAATAGTTTAACATCATTATGAATTGTTCCTTCCGGAGCTTCATGGACTGTTAGATTTATGAGAAATTCCACACATGCTTTAAATAGCGTTAAAAGTTCAGTCTTTGTTCCACACAAGATTATATCAAAAATCACTATTAATTGACCTCATGCTTGTTGCACAAACTTCTATTTTATTGTGATGAAGCTTTTCTCTTTCAATTTGAGTGTAAAGCTGTCGGTGAGGTAACACAATCATCAATGCTTTAGTGATTAATGTGAGCTACAGTAGCAAGCAAGTTAAATGGAGAAAATTCAGCATTGGGTACGGAATGTATTGAAAAGAATAATTGATTTGTGCAATTAAATCAGATGAAAATTAAGCTAGTCACATTGAAATATATATTTTTTATGGCACACAGAAGACGACGGTTTGCAACATCGATGATATATTGCACTTGCAAAAATGGTCTGACAATGTTTATGCTCAATAGCTGGATTGCAAAAGAAATTGAACACATTCTTTCGAATATATAGAATTTGTTTGTTATGAATCATGCTAATAGTGTCAGCATGAAGCTCCAGCTGAGTAGTCTTTAATCTAATATTAGTACCAATTAAGCACACATGAATTTTTGCATATTAAGCACATAAATCTTTCTATTATAAATATTAAAATGTGTTAATACACTGGCACGTAACCAAGTAGCTCATGTCGTGTATGTAGTCACCTTTATCCATGGCATACAAACAGCTGTAATCTGATATTGTCAATTTTGCGCAAATCTCATATTCATAACAAAGCGTTTGTTATTGAGGAAATATGTGGATTTAGAAATCGAAGTTAATGATTCCAAATTAGGGGGTCGTTTATAAATGATGTCTAATTTTTTGGGAGTCTGTAGCTGTATGACACTTATATGCACAAGAAAAATCTATACATGAAAGTTTTGGACCATAAGAAGGGTTGTGCAGCTTGAAATCCTACAAAATTCATTTACGAACAATCCCCTCAGTGGAATTTAATTAACAAGAAATTGGCAATAAACCGAATAATTTCTTAAGTACATTTGAGGATCCAATTGACTTTTCAATTGAAAGAATATTGCTCAAGATATTTGACTCTATGGCAAGTGCCATAACTTAAATAATTTAATAGCTTAAACTTGACTTCAAATTGACACAGAAAAATAAAATGCTCGCAATAATCATGCCAATAGCATTGCATGTAAAACCATAATGCATATTTTTTTTGTGTGCTTAGCGGAAACCAATTGTAAATTAAATCGAAAAAAAATTATTCGAGTCATATAAAGCATGCAAGAAAATTACGAGAACATTAAAATGAGAAATGCAAACAATTCACATGTGCTGATTTTTTTTCCTCTTAACGGCCTTGACTTTCATTTTCTTTATCGCAAAACTGTTGCTATTTTTGCCTGATATTATTACATAACAACTAGCTTATTCACCCCACAAAGTTTTAAATAAATTAATAATTCTACTCAGCTCAGCTGTTAATAAGATGAATATTTCGTAATAGCCATTTGTTTTGTGGACTTTACAAATAAAATACACAAACTTTTAGCACACTGTCAGGTAGAGAATATTTCCACGTTGAATAGCTAGTCGATTGTATTCAAAATGATCTATTGAAATGTTTTATTTTATAAAACTGATTACATGTGAGAAAATCAGCACATGTAGGAACTAGCTTTTGTAGAATTATGGCATCAGCTGTTGGTTGGATCACAAGCTAGTCGAGAACGTTCTTTTGCTGATTCAATCTATCATGAGGGTCATGTCGATGACGTAAATATTGAGGCAGTTTTAAATCTTTGTGACATTCCAGAGATTATTCTGCTAGACAGCCTTGGAACTAAAGGAAGGGCCATTAATTTGGTGAAGTAATTAATGATGGATTGACACTTGATACCTTAAACAAAGGTTCTGATTATTTGAATTGCGGATATAGTGAGCTATCAGCTTATTCTGAGCAGGTAATCATTTAGAATAATCTCCTATAGCTTAATAAATGATTGTGTGACCAACCCGTAACATTAAACCTGTATTTGCTTCTAATGTTATTAAATCGCGTGTTATATCAGTTGTCAACGGGCTGCTCAATATGATCAAACGTCCTATTACGTTGTCTAATGTTGTGACTCTATAAATACTTGAGAATTTATATCTACTTCCTGGACATCTTACATGATACTTGACTAATGATGTTCTTAAATGGAAATCTACGGCGTAGCAGCTTCAACGAACAGTAATTCTTATAATGTGCGACATTGCCTACAATTAATAACTCAACTATGTCTATAAGTATTAGATGTCGCATGTCCATTTTTCAATTTATCGAGTATGAAAAAAAATTTGAAATTCAATTCCACGCGTAACATGAAGTTGATTCTCTTCCTGTTCTCTTTCAATGCAAAAGCACAAACAATTTAGAATTGCATTTCTTTCCTTTATCAATGTCACAATGTTACTTCCACTAATTAGTCGCATTAATCAAGTAAGTGCAACCGTTAAAACATCATCCCCTACGCATTATATCAAATCCAATTAATTTAATTGCGTGAAAATGTACATTTAAGAGATTAATGACTTTTGACAGCACTCGAGCATTTTCAGAGTTCATTATTTATTAACTGTACATGCTTTTTTTTTCTCAACATTAAATTCAATTTTTATAGTCATCAATTTTTTTTTATAGATTTTAAGATTCCATATAGTCAATGCACCGTAAAATAGTTCAATTAGTGCTTCATTTCTAGTGCATTGCACGTTAATTAATTTTTATTGCGAATTCTTTTGTGTGTTTTAAAGGCGGTGGCTACAACTATCGAAAATTGTTAACAAATTAATTACTTCTTTCTGACAAATCACGAACAAACTGCTAAATAGTCAGGCTGGCTAGATATTGGCCGAAAAATCAATCACTCATGATCAGTCTGAAAGCATTGAGTGGATGGCTAGCCTCAAAATATGTCTTCTTGTGGGATATAAAGTGATGATGTCGTGGACTAAGTTGATTGATGATTGATAAAATTTGGCAGGTAAATTGTTTTAATGACTGCAAAAATAAACTTGAGCAATTGTAAGCAGAGCAGCAAGTTTTTATGAAAGGTCGTTCAAACTGTTGCTACCTACCACGGCTATATACATTACAACTAGTTCTAAAACTCCTTGAACCAATTCTTGAATTCTTTAACCAGAATTAAAAGTTTTAATTCAATTTTTTATTCTCGTTAAGTTCCTGTTAGGAACAAAGAAGTTTATAGGATTTTTAATGAAAGGATACGAAATAAAAATTAATTCTAGTCCAATCAAGCTTAATTGCTTAATCATATTAATAATAATTGTTTCATTATTATTCAGATATGTTAAAGCACTAAGCACTAAGCACACATTATAGAATAAATAGTTTTGTTGCTACATCATTCATTTAAATCTTGATTATACGGGAGAATAAAAACTAATTATGGAATTAAAATCAAGTAAGAGGAAAAACTTGTCTGGATCTAGGAAGAATATATTATCTGGCAGTTAATCGAATCATAATTCTCAATGTCAATCTAAATTAGCATATTATAGCATGCTGTATATTTAGTCAATTGACAAAACTTGCCATTATGCTTAACATGATCACTGTAATTATCTTTAGATTTCGGAAGCTAGAATTCTTTCAGGAAATCGATTAAAATTTCAAGTTCATTTCGATTTATCATGAAGAAGTTTCTAATGTAGGTAGAACTAGCTTGATCTTTTACGTGGGACACTGAGTTATTCTAGCAATTCCAAGAATTTATACTATTTCTTAGCTATTTCATCAGAATACAAATTATTGCAGTATAAGAGTTGAACTTGAAAATTGGCAAATGGGAAGTAGCTAAGATAGCACGGTGCACAATTGATTTGTATATCTTGATAAACTAATCATCTCTCGTAGGTATCAACTCTAGTAAAGGCCTGCCCAGCCCTAGTCACTATTACTTATAGCAGACTCTCTTAAGGGGCGTTCACTTATGACGTCCGATATTAACGGTCATTTTTCAAAAAAGAACAATGGAATTCAAGGAATTTCTATTGTTCTTTTCTTGCTGACCCCCCCCCCCCCCCTAGACGTCATAAGTGAACGGCCCCTTATTGATATCCAAAAAAATATTTACGCGCTCAAAATAAAATCACTGAATTCATTTAACTTTCAACTTTCATCACAGATATTTTTAACGAAATGCATCTCAGACTTAATTTTATAGCTGAGCTTATCAATTTTCGACTTGAATCTTTTAATTTCACTAAGATCTGACTGCGATAAGATTATCATGTAGTAACTTACACTAAAAGATAATGTTTGCTGTTTTTACCACGTTTTTTAAGTGATTCTCTTTATGGATGGAATGAAAAACTAGTTTCTAGTAGCACTGATGATGAGATTACACACTGCAGCACTTACGCATGTTTGATCAAAAGAAAATGAATTTTATAACTTACGAATTTCATTTTTATGTATGATAATTTAGGAGATAACACAAAGTATATTCACAAAAAAATAATAATTTAAAGTTTACGCTTTAAGGAACTTGCAAAGTATGTTTTCACGTTGAAAAGCTTCAATTGAATGATTTAAATTTCTTTATTGTGTGTTTATTTTATACAGAAAGAGGGAGAAGTTGTGTTTCCTTGCAACAAACAGAGAACTCAACAACAGCTGCTCAAAAAGATTCCAATAAACTCACACAACACAGTTACAAAGAGTTTTACATTTGAATCTCACGTAGTCAGTTTTTTTCTTCTTTTTTCCCTACCTATGCTTTATGGATACTTTATGGAACACGAGAATTCTTACAGAAGTAACCAAGAGTTTTGTACTAAAGCTCTCTGGTTGTTTTTAGAAGCTTATTCAATGTCTTTGAGTTCACGGTACTAAAACAATACGTCGGACGGAGCAGCTCGTGAGAGATAATAAGTTACTAAGAATTGAGAGAAATCGCATAGATTGAAGTGCGTATCATTTTCACAAGCATTCGGAAATATGTTTTTATGTCGATTTAGGGTTGTTCATGCATATAATAAGAAAGAAATTCAGCCTTCTTGAATATTGGCCGGTATAAACCTTGACAAAAATAAAAACTGTAATTGAATACATGATTCTTTTTAGTTTTTCCTTTGTGCTTTATGCTGTTTTTTTTTGCATATTCATGTACGGAAAAAAATATATCATGGGGTCATATAAATGCACATATGCAGTTACAATATTTTTTTTTATTATTTCTTACATTTTTTTAGTAAGTTGTCGGTTTGCATTAAGCCACACCAAAATTTCCTGAATTCATTTTTTTAGACCTTTGAGTGCAATTTTTGCGAAACGAATGCATTCACTTTGATTTGATATATTTGATGTCTATAAGTTTAGTGCCTGTTGATCTAATTAGTGGGTGGAAAAGCTATGCTAAGTTGAAATTGATCTCCTTTTGGTCTAGAGCAGCTAAAGTTAAAACTTTAGTTGTTTCGTTCCTAATTATTGCAATATAGACAGAATGATGATCAATCAGAGACTAGGCATAGAAAACTGAATCATATTCACTAGATATGAAGCTCATAGCCTACCGTTCTAGGATACAGGTAGAAACATCATCAAAGGAATGATTCAGATTAGAGAACGTCTGAAATTATTTTTGAACATTAAAGAGTACATAATCCTTTGGTCTACATTGAGGAATGTGACACCATACCTAAAATTCATTAAATTGAGCAGGTAAAGCTATAATTGAACTCAAACAAAAATTTTAATTGTCATGAAAAATTCGACTATTCGTATTTGACTGAAATGAATCCAAAACGTGTTAAAAAGGCATAAATTTCATTAATGAGCAAGTTAAATCATAATTAAATCAGAAAGGTCGTAGATTTTACGGGTCTATTTAAAAAAAAATTTTCATGCCGCGACACGTGGACCATACGCCAAATAAATTGCAATGTTATGTTATGATGCAACATGCTTCTATTGAACCAAAAATAATTTCAAATAGACGTAAAAAATAAATTGGATGAGAAAAGCAAAGAAGAGTTCGGGTGACATAAATGAGGCAATAGCAACAAGTTGGTATAGTTCCAAATGCATTTTAAAATGGCATTTGAAGTAACAAAAATTGTAGAAATTTTTACAATAGTCCAAAAAATTCAGTAGGCAGACAATGTTGTTGCTACTTGCCTAGCTTACATCTAAAGCTATGTCTACGTGATTATGCTGTACATTGATGCAAGAACAAAATGTAAATTGAACTTAATAGCCAGTAAGTTCCTTAACTTTGCTTCAGGTGAGTCATAAAGACATAAATAGAGTCTTAAGCTATATCAAATATATAATAATAATAATAATAATATCAGTAACCGTCATGATTAATCTAAAGGTTGTTGTAATGGATAGCAAAGCTAATTTCCGATTCTTATGACTGTGGCTAATTAAGAACCTTCCGAACAATTACTACTCATATTTTATGTTTCATGTGCATTTCCTGAATCTCGTTAATGTGTAAAAAAATTTTTTTTTTATTTCGCGAACCGCAATATTTTTTGTGTCGTTCCGTTTTTAGCCCTCGCTCACCTTGAGAAAATCATAACGGTTACTATACTTTGTATTTAGTCACAGATATATTATAAATATTGACAATTCTTATTCACAAGAATTATAAAGCTCATTAAGTTACTCAAGACTTCCCTCAGTTCCTAATGTTGTCATGTAATTGGTCCACACGTGCAGTTAAAAAAATGATTTGCAACTATTTAGAATTTAAATTACGTTCCGCACAAAGCTTAATGACTTTCACGACAAAAAGCGTGAAAAGTGCTTTCAATTAACATAATAATTTGAGATTATCATTAACATTCAATGACTCACTTTTGTTAATTTCTGCTGCTTACGCTGATCGCATCATAAAACTGTACATTTCACTCTCATTTTCTGTTGCGAGAAAAAACAAACAAAAATGTATGAGGAAGTCAGAAAAGATCATTAAAATTAATAGACTTAAACGCACTTTTATGGCAGGTGATTAGATTTATTGATTAAGGCATAGATTGAGGAATCCTCAATGAGGATGAGGACCTTGTTGAAGTATGCCTTATTTTTAATTAATTATGTTATTTAAAGTTTGAAGCTTTTTCACTGGATGTGCTGAGATATTTTTGTAGTGTTAACTTGATCAGTGAAATTTTTGAACTTCCGTCCAGTTGCTAATGGTATAGCTAGGAAGAGAGAAGTCACTGAAGATGTAGACATTAAAAATGATCAAGTTAAGGAAGTGCTTGTGTTCCAAAATTCATCCAGCTTCGTCTTTGCATGGAATTTCATTTTTACTACCTTGTTGCCCAAAATGCTTAACAAGTTACCTACAAAATAAAAAGCTATGCTGAAAATTAATTTTTATGACAGCGTGTGACCTTGAAAACAGGTTGTTAAGTTATATATATTATTTTTTCCATTACTTCACTTACGTTTAATAAATATTTTTTGCACTAGACGCACATATGAGTCGCACTATGTTTTAAGTAGGAGGACATGACGGACGATTGGCGAACGCTTTTGACAATTTCCTTATTGCCAATTTCTTTCCTGTAAGTCCAACAGAAGAAAAAAAAATATAGAGCAACGGCATGTTGTGTGGACGAGTTCATCGAACTATGAAACAGCCAAGCATGAAGAATTTACAGTTTTTTGAGTGATCTAGAAACATGACCAATGCAAAAAAAATTGTTATAGCTTTAAATTACATTGACATTCAATTTTTATAACTTTATTTTTTTTGGAGCTAGTTCAAGGTCGCTGCTATTGTTTCCGAAAAATTATATACAGTTTCGTAATGTTTTTAATTCGAAGTGTTTTCAAGACTCATTAATTATTTTTATGTAAAAAATTTTCCTCATGCAACCTTTAAAATCGCACTAAATCATGATTTTAATCGTAATCCTTAAAACGATTTGTGAATTTCACAATTGCTTTATAAACTCTTTTCAAAAAAAAAAAAAAGCTTTAATGAAATTAAAAGCAAATAAATCTTGCGATTAAACTTCTTGCACAATCTGCTTGAATAAAGATGATTTCATGAATGAATCTGAACAAATTGTAGATGAAGATATGATCTTAGTGTGTATCTTGAGTTGATAGGATTGATTTTGAAGTTCATCATATGCATGACAAACTTTGATGAAACTAGATGCTTGGTGCATGATTTTCAGGAATCTGTGACGAAGAAAAATTCACAACAGCGACATAGCCAAGGGTTAATTTGAAGGAAGCATAACATCATAGGCAACATCATCTTCTCTATGGGCTGATAAGAGTGCTTCTGTGTCAGAACAACCACACTGTCTGAAATCAGTGAGAAAAGCATGAAAACAGTCAATAGCAGACTATAAACATCCATTCAATAATTCCGTTAGCAGTTGACGATTTATGTTTGCAAAATCACACTCTCTTTTGCTCTCTGAATATCTGCACGTATCGATGCATCATTTATCTCTGAATGGACAGTTATGATGATTATCAATACACTTGCCTTTCAGCACTCTTGATACACTGCTTCATTCGTTTATTTATTTTCTTATGATGATAATATTTTTCTTTTAAATAAAGGAAGTGCGAAGATATTGAATTGCTAGCATGTGGGTTTTGTGATTGGTGCTATAAAATGTTTCAATATAGCTGAATAAACGTCGCAATAAAAATGTTCTAATTTAAAAAATAAAAGAAAATTTAAAAAAAAAATGGGATCTTTTTATGGGTATGGCAAGTGTACTGTATTTATACAGGAAGTTCAGGGTCGAAGCGAGTACTTACTTCGCTGGTCGTACTTACAGATTTATTGTGATCCATGATGCTAACGGAAGGTGGCTGTATTGCTGATTACCGCTTGCCAATTTCCAATACCTGCTTGTTCTGAATTGCTGTAACTGTTCGAGATAGGTTTTAAGAAAGCTTGGTTCATTTGAAACATTGAATTTCAAATTCGAAGGGTTGTAACCATCAACCAGAAAACCTAGTGTCTAGAGAACCTAGAAAGCTAGTCAGAAGTCGATTTGTTGGTCTTCGCTGAGAATACTTCCATATTATCAAAACTTAATGAACACAGCGTTATTCATAAATTTTACGATTATTTTGTCACAATAAAGTCAGTCCCAATAAAAATATCATTTCTACAGTAGCATTTTTCTGCTGTATTACGTTTGTTTTTCCTCATTTTCCACTAAGCTTATGGCGTGAAAAAATAAGAAAATTTTTCTTTTTTAAAAATAACATTTTTTAAACAATTTCGAGCGATGAAAAACAATTTTTTTCTTTCAATTTAAAATATTTTAATGATCCATAATGGACATAATCACGTAGAAATATTTTAATTTTACAGCTCTCAAAGGGTCTGAGAAGCGATTGAGAAAATTTATGGTGTCATTTAATTTTATTTATATTTTTATTATTATTCATACATTTACATAATTAAGGTAATACATTTTGTGTGTGTAATTTTTGTCATATTTCTAACCAGCAATTGAATTTTTGTTCTATCCATGCAAAGAATTTTGCAAGACCTTTGATAGCATGAACAGATATGGCACTCGATGATTGCAAACAAAACAAAATAAATTTAAGATTAGAATAAATATTATTTTAAACTGGATTTCCTTCAAGATTGTTGTAGATGATGTGATACATGCAATCGATAGCATCAGTCCATGCCTGTGAAGGAGATTTTTTTTTATGATTATTAAATTGTTAATTTTTGGATAATTTAAGTGATAAAAAATTTAAAGTTTGTTACTTATTACGTAACAGGAAGATCAGAAGATGAAGTCTTAAACAATAAAATTTTCTTAGATTTATTTTGTTCTTTTTTTGAAAAAAGTTTGTTTTTCATTTACATAACAATTGAACAGCACCTTAGATCCAGTAAAATCTTTCAATTATGGTTTAAACCAAGGGGAAAACAACATGATGAGAAAAATTTGATGGAAAATTCAAAAGAATTCCTCATCGATTAATTGATTTAGTTTAGGATTCTTTTAATTTTTTGTATTTCAAGATTAAGTTCCTTTGCCAAAACTTAAGATATAACTCTGATTTCTTCATTCTACATCCTGGATTCAAATTTTAAGTTCCTTTGCCAAATCAATCCTTAGTTTTAAACCTTTATATCCACAATTCAAAATTTAACCACTGATTTTTTAAATTCACAATTCACTCACTTTCTATCACTTAAACAATATTTTTTTTCGACTATCTTACCTGCATTCCATCGTAAGAACTACCAACATTAAAGCGCAAAAATTCCATCAATGCTTCTCTGAATTCCTGTGTAGATTGAGATATTTCCATAATCATCTAGATCCTCACAATTTTAATTCTCGTCAACTTACCATGAAAGCAAATCTGGAAGTGCCTCTAGCTCTATGATTATTCCCCATTTCGTTGAGAATCTTCTTAATTCCATCAATATCCTTGCCCAAGAGGTCAATGACTTGACCAAAAACTCCAAGAATTTTTTCAGCATGAGCAGCAAATTCAGGGGTTTCCTTAAGGTCATCTAAGTCTTTGCCAGCGAAGGCTTTAAAATGTTTCATATTTCCTGGATATTTTTCAAAGAAATTGTAAAGGATTTCTACAGCTTGAGTTCTGATATAATCCCAGTCAGTTTGAACGAGCTTGGCTTGTTCCTCCGTCAAAATCTTTAGTTGTGGAATTCTAGCCATTTTATAATATTTTCACAATTAACAAGAAAGGCACTAGTGATGCGTGTTGAACAGACCGCGGTTGGTTTCAATCTGGAACAATTTTTAGCATAAGCCGAACTTTTGTGATGCCAATTGTCGGATTTTTTTCACTTTCTTTTTTCTCCTCAAGCTGTCCGGCTTTGCCTTCTTATTGGAAATATTCCTTTTTATTTTTAGTAACAAATAAAATAGAGATAAGAATTGCGAAATGAATTTATAAAGCAAGTCTTGTGTGTATGCAGTATGATGATGATGAAAAATAGAGGGAGAAGTGAGACTGTATATTTGTTCCAATATAGAGATTTAGTGGAAAAATGAAAATTTAATTTTTGTTTTTCTTTCTTTATTTACAAAGAGGAACGGCAGCTTACGTAATTTTTGGGTACGGGAACTGATCATGTAGTCAAATTAATATGAAATATAGCTAGATTAACTGATGTAATTTAATTTCCATTACTCCTCTTGACTCTCTTAATTAAATTAATTGAGACTTTAAATTTTTATGGTCAGTGGTTGGTTCTTAGGCATCCTAAATCCTACACCCTACGATCAGAATGTACCCCTACTTTCTTCCAATTTCGCATCATGTTGTTTTCCCCTCGCCTGTTACCGTACAAAAAAATTATAGCAGGGAGTCGATCAGGGTTATACCCTTGAGCATACCAACAATCCCCAGAACATTCACTTGTTGCTCTAGATTTATTTATGGACGCAAATGCAACAATGATGATGTAAAATGTATTTTTGAGAATTTATAAATATGAAGATCTGGCATTTTAATGACCAGTTTGTGAAAATAATATATCAAGCATCTTTGGAGGTGCAATAAAATTCGGTGCTTAACTTTTGAACTAGACATTTTGGGAGTATCAAGAATCAAAACATAAATTCAAAAATTCTAGGTCATTGATCATCTCTCAATGAGATAACTTATGATTCTGTTGTGACCTGTTATGACATTAGCTATGGATATTTACAATACAGTGGAATGTTCAATGATTAACTGTCAAATGACAATTTTTCATTTCCATTAATAATCTCTTTCCCAAAAAATAAACAGAACGAGGAAAAGTCTTCAGTTATATTTTCAATATTTTCCTAAGACTTTTCGTTAGGTCAAATCGTTTAGCCATCTAGCAAGAGTCCACAAAGTCCCAAAGTCATTTTAAAACAGTATTTCATAGTGACACTTATCAAGTCATCACTCAAAACTTCAGAATGTATTGTCATTACATAAAATTTCACTCAACCGCCCACAAGATGTGGATTGAATCTTTTGTGGATTGGCATAAACATGACATGAAAACTTGTTGTGTGCCATAAATTTAGAGACACTTTTAATAAATAGTCAAATTTATTGAATGAACATTTTTTGCTTGTTGTTCATGAAAAATTGAAAAGACAGATGAGACAGTCATAGACGCATTCTACAGATCTGTAAGTCTTAAATTGATCATGAATAAAAACCTGGATCCAACAAAATTTTCAAAGAAAATGTTCTTCTAAATCAAGAAAATGCCACGTTCTTTTGTCTCATCCCAAAAATTGTAGACTCAACTGATCAGAACATATTTGGATTTGGATCATGTCTCATGCGTTTATATTTTGCAAATATTAAATTATTACACTAAGAAAGCTTTGAAAAATTTAATCATTACAAATTAAAATTTTCTTTGACAGAAACCACAATATATTATAAAAGTTCTGTTTGTTTCTATATTTTTAAAAGTGCTTCTGTATATCAGATTATAACATTATAATTATCATCCCGTTGAAATTTAATTCATGTAAGTAATACACAAAAACGTGATTAAAAATGACAAAATAACACCAAAAACGAATGACTAATTTTGTTTTTTCTTATCCAGCGTCATGAAAAGCTGTAAAGATTATCTAAAGAACTATGACAATGAGACCAAATGAGGAAAATGCCGAAAAAGTTCATTGGAATTTTCGCAGCATAACTACTCACTTTAAAAAATGTATAAATACGACTGTCAATGAACGACAACTCCTTTTTAAAAGAAAATCTTCACAAACAGATGAAGAAGATGAGTCTGCTGATTCTGTCCAATCCAAAAGGAAGAAGATCAAATTGACGAAAAAAAGAAAGGAGCTCGATAAATATTCCCTTTAGAGTAAAAGGATCAACATCCTTTAAGGCTTTTGTAAAAGCTCTGAATCCCACCTACGGTGATCAATTGCCGTCCGTTAACAAGGTTGCATCCTATCATTTGGAAACATATTATGCAAAATTGGAATCAAAATTGAAAAATAGTCATCATCTAACCCTTATTACTGATTCCTATAAGAACATCAACAGCGATAATATTCAATGATTTTGTGTGAAAATCCCGTGCTACAAGACACCATTTTTTGTAGGATCTATCAATACAAAAGGAGGATCACAAACGGCAAAACAAGTTGCAACTAATATGGTTCGTTTTATGGAAAATTTCGGCGTTAAAATTTTTACAAGTATTATGTCTGACAATTGCCCAGCAATAAAAGCTGCAAAAAAATTGTTTCGAGTGATCATACAAACATTATTGAACAAAGTTGCAGTGTACATGAAGTTAACCTCATTATAAACGATATAATGAAATATCCAAAAAAATCAAATTGTTTTAAACGAAATAGACAAAATCGTTTGCTCGGCTGGGTAAGCATAAAAACTTTTTAACCAGACAACGTAGAGAGCTCAGGTTTGTTTTATTAGCTCCGTTACTATTGTTTATTGTCCAATCAAACAGTTAAAAGTCTTGAAACAGTGTATTTATGCTATAATTAATGAATTTTTGTTTTGTTTTCAGTGTAACCTGCTCAAATTCTATTTTACCTCTATAATTTCAATTTTTTTCTAGCCGTTGTAAAATTTCAAATTTTAAAAAACCGTTAGATGATAAACTTTTTCTGTATGGAAATTCATTGCAGCAAATTATTAATTATACTACAATTAATGTTTTTGTGGTGCAATTTTTAGCGGGAAAATTTCAAATTATTTATTAAGCATTAGAAAATTTGATTTCCAAAAAACCGTTAAATGATGTGGGACGCTCTTGCATATATCCCAAAATCTTGAATTAGTGACAATTGAAAATAATCCATTTTTACATCTATATTAGCATTCTTTATCATTTATAATACCTAGATATGTTTTAAAATGCAATTTAAAGCATTTTTGGTTTTGATCATAGTAGGCTATTTTCAAAAAAATATCGATTTTATATCTATATTAGCATTTTTTATCATTTATAATACCTAGATATGTTTTAAAATGCAATATAAAGCATTTTTGGTTTCGATCATAGTAGGCTATTTTCAAAAAAATATCGATTTTATATCTATATTAGCATTTTTTATCATTTATAATACCTAGAAATGTTTTAAAATGCAATTTAAAGCATTTTTGGTTTCGATCATAGTAGGCTATTTTCCAAAAAATATCGATTTTTTTATCTATATTAGCATTTTTTATCATTTATAATACCTAGATATGTTTTAAAATGCAATTTAAAGCATTTTTGGTTTTGATCATAGTAGGCTATTTTCAAAAAAAATCGATTTTATATCTACATTAGCATTTTTTATCATTTATAATACCTAGATATGTTTTAAAATGCAATATAAAGCATTTTTGGTTTTGATCATAGTAGGCTATTTTCAAAAAAAATCGATTTTATATCTACATTAGCATTTTTTATCATTTATAATACTTAGATATGTTTTAAAATGCAAATTAAAGCATTTTTGGTTTTGATCATAGTAGGCTATTTTTCAAAAAATATCAATTTTATATCTATATTAGCATTTTTTATCATTTATAATCCTAGATATGTTTTAAAATGCAATATAAAGCATTTTTGGTTTTGATCATAGTAGGCTATTTTCAAAAAAAATCGATTTTATATCTACATTAGCATTTTTTATCATTTATAATACTTAGATATGTTTTAAAATGCAAATTAAAGCATTTTTGGTTTTGATCATAGTAGGCTATTTTCCAAAAAATATCGATTTTTTATCTATATTAGCATTCTTTATCATTCATAATACCTAGATATGTTTTAAAATGCAATTTTAATCATTTTTGGTTTCGATCATAGTAGGCTATTTTCAAAAAAATATCGATTTTATATCTACATTAGCATTCTTTATCATTTATAATACCTAGATATGTTTTAAAATGCAATTTTAATCATTTTTGGTTTCGATCATAGTAGGCTATTTTCAAAAAAATATCGATTTTATATCTACATTAGCATTCTTTATCATTTATAATACCTAGATATGTTTTAAAATGCAATTTTAATCATTTTTGGTTTCGATCATAGTAGGCTATTTTCAAAAAAATATCGATTTTATATCTACATTAGCATTCTTTATCATTTATAATACCTAGATATGTTTTAAAATGCAATTTTAATCATTTTTGGTTTCGATCATAGTAGGCTATTTTCAAAAAAATATCGATTTTATATCTACATTAGCATTCTTTATCATTTATAATACCTAGATATGTTTTAAAATGCAATTTTAATCATTTTTGGTTTCGATCATAGTAGGCTATTTTCAAAAAAATATCGATTTTATATCTACATTAGCATTCTTTATCATTTATAATACCTAGATATGTTTTAAAATGCAATTTTAATCATTTTTGGTTTCGATCATAGTAGGCTATTTTCAAAAAAATATCGATTTTATATCTACATTAGCATTCTTTATCATTTATAATACCTAGATATGTTTTAAAATGCAATTTTAATCATTTTTGGTTTCGATCATAGTAGGCTATTTTCAAAAAAATATCGATTTTATATCTACATTAGCATTCTTTATCATTTATAATACCTAGATATGTTTTAAAATGCAATTTAAATCATTTTTGGTTTCGATCATAGTAGGCTATTTTCAAAAAAATATCGATTTTATATCTACATTAGCATTTTTTATCATTTATAATACCTAGATATGTTTTAAAATACAATTTAAAGCATTTTTGGTTTCGATCATAGTAGGCTATTTTCAAAAGAAAATATCGATTCTATATCTACAGTAGCATTCTTTATCATTTAAAATACCTAGATATGTTTTAAAATACAATTTAAAGCATTTTTGGTTTCGATCATAGT